CCCCAGAATCCTCCTTTGTAACAAAAACAAAATAGAACAACAAATTGGTCATGTCAGACAACATATACCTCATGCACCTATCATCTATGACCTCTCTACCAAGAGGAAGATGGCATGTTTGACTACTAATCTTCTGAAGTCAAGACTGCCTATGACAGGAACACTTTAAAAAAGTGACTTGAATAAGGCCATGGAGCCTACGCAGGGAAGCTGTGAAGCAGAGATTTCAAATTGTGGTGCGAGAGCCAAATGTGTCTCTTCAGATTTTCCATGCTCAGTCATGAGGCAAGCGTGAAAAAAAAAACTTTTTTTTAATTTCAATTTGAATTGATGCTGTCTGTGATTGAAAATATCTATGATTTTAATCAAATCATACACATAGAAGTAATGGATGAATAATGTAAATATCTGTCAGCTCTATTCACTATACTAAATAAATTATGCATCATCACTTTTTGAAAAAGAAACGACAGAAATCCTATGTTAATGATGCTGGTGAATGTTGGCTCCCACCCTTAATGGAATCACATTTGCTGTGAAGAGAACCCAGGTGCCCAGATTGCCAGGGTCATATTTCATGTACTACCCTATAATGGCACCCCTTCTATGAGAGGTGACCCCTCAGGAGGTCTCCTTAGAAAAAGAATCTGGAAAAGCAGAGGAATCAACTTAGGTAGATTGATCAATAGCATCCTGGTATGGAATTAATGGATAGGTCCCTTGAGTTCCTCAGAAACTATTTAGGAAAAGGGATCATCAACTGGGGCAAGGGGATAAATAACACCAGCCTTGAAATGTGGCACCTGTCTTTATTCTGCAGTTATAGAAGAAAGCTATATGATGCTACAAATGGCTGTGACTCATGAACACTACCCTCTCAGAAGGATCAGATTTGTAGGGGAGCCAAAGGATCATGGTAAAACAGACTGTGGGTGCCATTAGGTTGTTGCATGTTATCAGTGATGTGTGCAAGAAGGGGCATAAAAGACATTAACCCAAAAGATGGGAAATAGTCAATGGTACAAGGGTTGCAAAAGACAGGCACACCACCGCCTCCACTGTTGGTAGAGCTGTAAATTGGCACAACCATTCTGGAAAGCAATATAGAATCACGCTAAGCAAATGACTAACATATCCATACTTTTTCACCCAGGGATGTCAAAGACAGAAAAAAAGCTCCCATACATACCAAAATATTCTTAGCAACAAATCATGTAGAATGTGGTGTTTAAACTTTAGTCTTGGAGATTTCATGAAGCAAAGGTGAGGAGGGAATGTATTGCAAGCACGGGGGACAAGCAAAATGGAGGCCCAGAGATGGGAGATGAAGTTCTGTGAGCAAGGGACAAAGAGAATGACAGTATAGACGGATTATAAAATGCAGGAAGGGGAGTAACATATAAAGAGGTTGGAAAGATAGGTTGAGGTCAAACTGTAAAGGGCCAGAGAATTCATATGTTACCCTAGAGGCAACAGAGAGACACTGAGCCTATTGAATAGGGAGGTGACGTGGTTAGACTCGCGCTTTAGGAAAATTACTTCGGCAACTCTGTGGAGGATGGACTGGAATAGGGAGAGTCCTGAGGCAGGGAGATCAATTAGGAGGCTACTGAAATATTTTAGGTGTTGAGGTGGTGAGGTTTTATGTGATGAGGACCTGAACTCGAGTGGTGGCTTTATGAATGGAGAGAAAAGGACATATGACAAAGATGTTGTGCATATGAAAACAAGATCTGGCAACTGATTAGGTATGTAGAGCTGGGGAGCATAAGGAACTAGGAATAAAGCCAAGTTTATGAACCTGGGAGATTGGATGAGTAGTGTCTTCTATGGAAACAGGGAAGTTCCATATAGGAAAGGGCTTGATGAGAAATGGGAATTCTATTTTAGACATGCCTTTGAGACATCTGGTTTGAAGTGTCTAATAGTCAATTGGTGGTGAGGAACTAGAACTCAGGAGGGAGATGAGAGCTGGATATCTAGATTTGGGAGTTATCTGCATGGAGATGATAATTGAATCCATGGAAACTGATAAGGTCACTAAGAAAAAATGGAGAGAGAAAGAAGAGGGCCCAGGACAGAGGCATGATTATAGGGGAAAGGGCTGTATGGTTTGGATGATAATTCAGCAAGGGAGTCACATAGGTAAAAACAGAACAGAGGGAGAGAAGAAAGGCATTCACCTCCATTTTTTAAAACCCAGAGGAAGGTGCCCAGTGCATTGAACGGCTCCCCTATAGAGAGTTCCATAGCAGGACATGGACAAGAATTTCACAGGATGAGATGGCATGAGGGGGTTGCCATCTGCACTGCTGGAAGAATAACCCATGCCAATGAGATCACCGACCCACTGGAGTGTCTGAGAATAGAAGACACATCAAATGATGGAGCTGAACATAAGTCCCAAGGAAGGGCTGAGTTAGGAAGAACTAGGCATCTAGAATCTACATGGCACTTTTACAAGGTGAGTTCCTTGACGTTAGGGACTGTTTTTGCCTTCATATCCATAGTACTTAATACAGTGCCTGCCACTCTGTATGCACTTAATACATTAATCACTCTGATTAATTCATTAATCACTTGTTGACTGACATAGTGTTGCGATCTCTTAAGCAGTCTCTTTAATTGTCCAAATCCTGATTATCCGCATCGGATTTTAGCCTTGGGTTTTCTTTGGTGCAGGGCAAACAGAACTGGTTCACAGTGACTAGGGGACCTGACATACCAAGGACCTGACATACCAAGGGTTGGACAGTGGAAGCTGCATGCCCTGGGTGCACAAAATTAGGGAGTAAAATTATCTGTAGATAATTTTAAAACAGCAATAAAACTGGTTAACAGTCTGCTTTTTATTACCATCATGTGCCAATGATTCTAAACGTCAGCAATAAACTACTCCTCTCCCTAAAAAACTTTTGTTTTCAAACAGTTTCTGCAGAATGGCAGTTGGCCCTGAAACACTCAGACTCTGTCATAAGCCTCCATTCAAGACTAAATTCAAAGTGTCCAGACCTTTTGAACTCGATTCGGGAACAATTTGTCTCCAAACCCTGGGGTCCTACATATTCCTGCATTTAAACAGTAGATTCCAAATGAAGAGACAGCCTGGTGATTCCTATTTCCGTGATCAGAAACTCTCTCCAGTTAATAATTTCTACAGGTGCCATTCACACTGGTGGCCTTTTTCAAGTTGGTCCAATACCAATAGGTATTTTAAAGACAAAGAAAGTGAACTTGAAGTACTTCAATTCTGTCACTCTCTGTGACCACTTAGAATTTGCATTTGTATTTAAAATTTAAAAACAGTCAAAGAGAATATGAACTGCAAGGTGCAATATTTTTCTCTGGGTAAAAGCAAATATTAATTCACATGTGAAATATATTACTGACTTTGAATAACACCTTTATAATTGAAATTTATTCTTTTTAAATTAATCATTGTAAAATTAAAGAGCAGATCAAGAAGATATGACATTGCATCAGTGATAGAATTTAGTAGCTAAGTTATCTTTTGCAGACATTTTGATTCTATTAAAATTCACTTGTTAATTTTACAATTAACAATTTCTATGAGTCTCATCCCAACTTATCTTTATGTTTAAGATTTTCAGGGTGCCAAGTTACAAACCCAGATTTTCTTGCCTTCTGAGAAGGGAAAAAAACCCTTACAGTCATGGATGGGTAGGGAAGTCTTAAAATCACTGCAATGTGTACAGATCTAGCCATTTAAAATTTGCAAAAACACTTTGTATATATTACTTCAGCTGGGCCTCCTAGTAACCCGATTTTACTAGGGACTACAGGTATTATATCACCCCACTTCATAGATTACCATCCCCACATTTATAGATGAGGAAACTGATGCTCAGAGATATTATGGGAACCACTTATTTTCACAGAACTAGTAAATGTCAGAGCTATTACTCAAACCTGAGTCTGCCGGATTCAAAGTCCAACACTCTTTGTATACTTTTGGAAGCTGCCTCTATGTCATGACTGCAATGAAAAGTGTACTTGAACTGGGAATCAAAGGGCCTGGGTTCAGATCCTAGATCTGCCATTTACTACCAGGGCTCCAATGGGGTGATTCACTTAATTTTTCTGGGCCTCTGTTTACAAATATGTACAAGGAGGCGATTGGATTAGGTGGATTCTAGAGTTCCTTCTGGCTCTAAATCTATGACCCAGTGACCCACCAGAGGACAATCTAAGCTGCAAAGGAAGGATGGTCATTTTCAGATTTTGGGATAAGTACAGAAACACACACACACACACACACACACACACACACACTTCCCTCCTTATACTCCCAGAATCTAAGCAACCCCCAGTGAAGCAAATAGGAGGAACCAAACCCCTCCACTAAATTGAAAAAGCAGCTGATAGAGCACAAGCGTGTGAGGTTTTCTCTGTGAGGAAATTTGTTCAAGGGGCTTCCCTAAAGGTGGTGGTGGTGGTGGTAGGAAGAGGAGGTCATGCTCAGTTGCCTATCAGTCAGGGATTACAGAGACAAGCCAAGCAGATGAAAAAGTGACTCCAAAGCAAATTAAGTGATTTCTGTTATCACAGTAGGATTTGATGAGCAGTGAAAATGATCCAAACAAAACCAGCCTCTGACCCCAAAATAATGAGACCCAAAAGGACCTTCTCCACCCCACTTATTTTTTTATTTTTTTTATTTTTTGCTTAGGCAGTTGGAGTTAAGTGACTTGCCCAGGGTCACACAGCTAGTTAAGTGTCAAGTGTTTGGTCTGAGGCCAGATTTGAACTCAGGTCCTCCTGACTTCAGGGCCAGTGCTCTATCCACTGCACCACCTAGCTGCCTCCCCCCACTTACTGAGACATCTGTCATCTCACTTAACTTTCCCATCTGTCCTGGGTGGGGGGAGAACTGCTCAGCATTGTTGACCTCTTACTGGGCACCTATAGCAATAGGCTGCCTGTGGAGCCTGGGCTGGCTTCTATCAGACACACATGAGCTTTGTGATCACTGCACCTACCTCTCCATTGGCATCACAGGCTGTGTGTGTGTAGAAATAATCTTTGTCCGTGCAAGCTGGACGCATCTTGCAAGAAGAGGATCCTTGTTCTACAGACCAAAAGCAGAGGAAAATACCATAGCGTGTGTTAGGAATACAGAAGTCTTTCTTCACTGGCTTGTGAGAGCAAACATTTCACCTGCACAGGAGCTGCTGAGAGCCCACACCTCTCTACCTCTCACTTCCCTGCTAAAGCTCCAGGCAGGGTCAGATAAATGGCACCTAGTTCTCCTATTTCTAGCTTGTAACAAAGCACTGATTACATGGAGTGGAAAGACTGCTGGTCAGAAGCCCTGGATTGGTATACCAACTGTGTAGCTACTAGCTAGGTGACCCTAGGTAAGTCACTTATCTGCTAGGTCTGTTTCCCCATTCATAAAATGATGGTGTGGAGCCAATCAGCCTCTAAGGTCCCATTGAATTAAATGTGTGGGGTCCTTAGAATGCTCTCAATCACTGAAGAAGATGACGTATGCAGGATGGGGGGGGCGGTGAAGAGAGTCAAGGAATGAGCTTGGCCAAGGGACTGGCTCCAAATCGGTATGGGCTTATTATCCTATAATATCTTTGCAGCACTCTCCTCATAATCCCTGCCTGGGCACAGTGCCCTTCTCCAGGCATGTCCTCTTTATATGATCATTTGACTACTGCCTATGGGCTTCCTCTCATATACACTATACTGAGTCACTGAGCTTCTGTAAAATGAGAGGGTTAGACAGGAGAGTCTTTAAGGTAGATGCTCTAGCTCTCAAAGCTATGCCCACATGCCAGGAATGCCTTCTCTCCCAAATCAACAAATAGTCTCTCTTCCATTAGCAAAGCAGTTTTTTCCCCTTCTTCCATACAATCTTCCCAAGCAAATCAGAAGAGAGGTGATAACCTCCAATCCCACTTGGATTTAGACTAAAACTCTTCTGTCTCTCACTTCCACCACCCTTGGTATTGCTTTTGATTCTTGACTTGAAAATTTCATGTAGCATATCCTAAGTTTGTGTACTGTATGCTCATTACAGATCCGTATCTGCTTCCAATTTTTAGATCCTAGAAGGCATAGACTGCTTCTGTGTAGCTTTCTTAGTACACGGCCCCAAACACTGCAAAGGCATTTAACAAATGTTGGTAATGATGATGAGAATCTTTCATTATAGCTATGACATAGATGCATGCATGGGCTTATTCTTACTTGGCAGTGTTCAGAGAATCTTTGGCTTCCTTCTAGACTTATTTTCTCGCAGGAAAATTTTCCTGGCTCTCCCAGCTGCTAATGCCTTCCCTTCTAAGGCTACCTCCTATCTACTCTGGATGGATCTTGTATCTACCTACTTACGTACTTGCTTTCTTGCAAGATTTCATCAGCTTTACGACTCCACTTCATCATGACCCTCCAATAGTACCATGAATGCCAAACCTCCATTTAAGGATCTGAGCTCAGACATCTATCTCCTCATTTCTCACCTGGCTGCACTACCTTGAGACTTCAGTGAGTTCTTTCACTGGGTGGCTACCTTTCCCACCCCAGCCACCACCCAACCCTTCTCCACTCCCTTCAAAGGCTTTTCAGATGCCTTCCGTTTGCTGTCTTCAGGGCAAGGGCTATCTGTTCTGTATTAGTACCTCTAGCAATTAGCACAGTGCCAGGCACTTAATAAAAGTTGATGGATTGTCTTCCTCCAATCCATTCTGCTTTTTTAAATGATTTTTTAATTTATTAATTTATTTTGATTTATTAACAATCACTTCCATATGCCTTTGAGTTTAAAATTTTTCTCCTCCTTCCTCCCCACCACCCTTCCCAAGACAGCACACAATCTGATATAGGCTATACATATACATTCCTATTAAAAATATTTTCACATTAGTGATGTTGTAAGTAAAAATTAGAATCAATAGGAGGAACCATCAGAAAGAGGAGACAAAACTCAACAGAAGAGAAAAAAAAATAGCAATTCAACTTCCATAGTTCTGTCTTCCTCCATTCCAATCTAAGCTCCTTGAGGACAGCCCTATTATTCCTTTTTCTCTGAGTCCCCAATACTTAGCACAGTGCTTGGAACGTAATACGTGCATAATAAATGTTTATTTGCTGGCTTAATGCAAACGACAAAATATCCCCCTCTCATCATCCCCAGGCAAGGAGTTCCCCAATGCTTCCCCTCCCCTTCCTATACCACCAAAGGCTATTTAAGACACAAGCTCTTCTACTGCACGTTTTGGGGGCTTCCCTCAAACAGCTGATATCCCAGCACTCCAAAGCTCCAGCCTTATTAGCACCGGCAGGGTGGAATTGATGGCAGAGAAGCAGCTGGTGCCTTTTTAGCTCATTGACTAGATTAACAAGCTAGAGGCCCTCTTCAGTAAGAAGGCTAATGGATCCAGAGTCTCTTGAATTTGGCGGATTTGATTCAAAAAGGATTGGAGAAGATTTTGAAAATCAACTCTTTTCCAGGTCCCTTGAGGGCTAAGGTTTTGTTTTTTTTTCTCTCTCTCTCCCTTTTTCTGAGTTCTGGACCAAACAAACCACCTGGTTACCTGCTGAAAAATAACATCTGTATGACAAGGAGGGCTTCTTGGGCTTGGCAAATATTTGCTCGCTGTGACAGCCGCACTCCTGGCCTCACAGAAATGCTGCAGCTGTTGACTCGTTGACTAGCTGGCTGGTTTAATCAATAATTAACCCAAATGTCACGGCACATTCAATTTCCCTGGTTAGAAGGTCTCAGTGAGGCACAAAAACAGGGTGCCACCAATTTTTAAAAAGGAAAGATGGGCTGGATATGGTGTTTAGTAAGGGAAGAGAAAATAGTTTGAGCAGGGCTGGTCCAGGGAAAAACTGTGAAGAGTTTAGCTCTTTAGCTCTTCAGTCCCCTTTCTGAACCATTTCCTCCCTTTCTCACAGCTCCTCCCTCTTTTATTGTGCTGAATTGCTATCCCTCTAGCTATCCCACCACAGCAAAGCAAAAATGCCAACAAACTCATTAGCCCCAAGATGTTAGGTAGCTCCACCTCTGTGGTATTTACAGGGTGATGATTAATACAAAGTAATGAATATACTAATGGTAGAATTTCAGGCATTTGTCAAGAGAATAGTTTGGTCAGATGACCTTTGGGCACCCTGTCTCCTCAAATTCCAACAGGTAGTCAACAAACCCTCTGCCTACATGAAAGGCCAGAGTGGGTCAGCCACCGGTCCGGGATGATGCATCCTTTGGTTGCATTCAGTCTCGATGCTGGCACAGCATCCTTGGAAAAGACAATTCTTCTGTAAGCTTCATTAAAATGGATCTATGTTATAAGGATCAAGGAAATCGCTAAGTGTGAATCTCCCAGTTTATTGTGATCTTTAGCTCTGCCAGTATTTCAACAATTCAATTCAGCAAGCACTTATTAAACATCTATTTTGTCCTGGGCACTGGGGATACAAAGACAAAAAAAAAGTCCCTGTCCTCAAGGAGCTTACATTCTATCAATTAATCAACAAAGATTTAATAATAGTCTACCATGAGATAAACATTATGTTGGGTGCTGGAAGTATAAAGATAAAAGTGAAACATTCCCTGCCCTCAAAATGCTTACACTCCATGGGGGAGACAACATATACATATATAGGCTTACAGAAAATAAATACAAAGTAGATACACAGTAATTTTTGAGAGGAGAGGACCGTTGCAGCTGAGGGAATGAGCAAATGTTTCATAATGAAGTAGGCCCTTGACCAACTGGACTCTATTTGATTTGGAGAGCATTTAGCATTTCTCAGTTGAAAACAGCCAGCTCAACACAGAATTACAATCAAAGAGTTACAGGATCATTTCATGTTACAGCTGGAGGTGACTTTAAAGGTCATCTCATCCAACCTCCTCATTTTACAGATGAGGAAATAAGCTCAGTAGTTAAGGGGGGCTCATCCGCACCCACAAAACGAAGTAAGTGGAAGAGCCAGGCCTGGAGCCCACACCTTTTGGCTTCAAGCCCAGAGTTCTTTCAACTTCATACTGAGTTCTAAATGCAGTCAGTCACTGTATTCCCTTAATGCTTTAAGGCAGCTAGGGGGCTCGGTAGATAAGGGGCTGCGCCTGGAGTCAGGAAGACCTGAGTTCAAATCCTGCCTCAGACAAAACTTACTAGCTGTGGGACCTTGGGCAAGCCACTTAACCTCTGTCTGCCTCAGTGTCCTCACCTGTAAAATGGGGATAATAACAGCACCTACCTCGCAGGGATGCTCTAAGGATCAAATGAGATATCTGTAAAATGCTTAGCTCAGTGGCTGCCACGTGGTAGCTGCTGTGTAAATGCTTATTTCCTTTCTTCTCTACCCATTCGGCTTCTTCTTGGAGTCCATTATGATGCACTCCAAGCTAAACTGCTAACCACATTCTCCATAATCCAAACTGATTGAAAAGACCCAGTTCCTATTCAAAAGATTTACATTTGAGGGCTGACTTCTCAGTTGGAGGCAGAAGAATGGAATCACAAAATCCTGATTCTCAAACTAACTTACAAACCCAAGGCTGCAAACTGATTTACATCATCAAAACAGACCCGGGCAATTTTGCCAGGGCCTTGTCATTCAAACCATTGCCCAACTGGTGGGCTGGAGAGGGGAGTCGGAGACCCAGAACAACAAAGGCTGCCATTGATGGAGGCACAGGAGGAAACAGAATAAGAAATCCAAGTGGAAAAACAGGAATTTAGACATACAGAGAAAACAGTTTGTTTGCCAGACCTAAACATTCCTATTCTTGCCTAACCTTACACTAAGCTAGCAAGACCTCTGATAATGAATAAATACTTTTCATTTTATCAATAGTGAGTGAGTCAGGTCAATTTCCATTCTTAACTGAGCAAATGCTCTAATGGGTGATTTGTGAATATGGAATGGTGCGCTTGAATGAAAGGTGAATATGGTGGTGTGCTTGACCTAGTTTCTGGGGCTACAAATCTTTGTGTGTATGTTTGCTGGGCCTGAATTTGGCTGTGTAAGGGAGACAAATGAGGGAAAATGTTATGAGTGGGTGGGGCTCACTCTACCCATTTCAATTTATTTCAGGTCTAGTCTTGAAGACTGTGGAAGCCAGGCCTGAATAGTGGAGAGATACTAGAACTATTTTCTCCCCTCTGTGTCATCCCCTTGTCCTCTGCCCTGCCCCCCCTCTTCCCTGCCCCCGCCCCCTTCACATGTGAGGGACTGTCTTGAACACTTGCACTGGGCAGAACTCAATTTCCTCTCCTCCAGGCAGTGTTTCTCAAGTTGAGGGCTAGGGATAGGGAATTATCAGAAGGCCATGGAAGAAGCCACTTTGAACTGAACCACCTTTCCTTTCAAATCAGTATAGGAATAGGATTCTGGTTCTATTTTTGTTTTTGGAGAAGCGAGTGGGGCATAACGATAGCAACTCTCATTGAAAAAGCACTTTTCAGTTTAGAAAACTCAACCCAGATATCATCTCTTTGGAATTGTAGGGAACTACCAGGATCTGCCTGGAAAGGTCGATTTTGAGAGCCATCATTTAAAGGCCTGGCCAAGAGAATGGCCACTTGCCTTTCTCTCCATGGTGTGTCCTTGGGTTTGGTGGTACCTCCAACTCCCTTAGCTTTTAGAAACATCACCTGAAAAACTGCCCTGATATTTTAGAACCAGAGGGCAAAATAGAAATTGAAAGAATCCACCAATCTCCTCCTGAAAGAGATCCCCAAAGGAAAACCCCTAGGAATATTGTAGCCAAATTCCAGAGTTCCCAGGTCAAGGAGAAAATATTACAAGCAGCCAGAAAGAAACAATTCAAGTATTGTAGAAACACAATCAGGATAACACAAGATTTAGCTGCTTCTACATTAAGGGACCGCAGGGCATGGAATATAATATTCTGGAGAGCAAAGGAGATAGGATTACAACCAAGAATCACCTACCCAGCAAAACTGAGTATAATCCTGCAGGGGAAAAAATGGTCATTCAGTGAAATAGAGGACTTTCAAACATTCTTGATGGAAAGACCAGAGCTGAATAGAAAATTTGATTTTCAAATACAAGACTCGAGTGGAACATGAAGAGGTAAACAGGAAAGAGAAAATCATAAGAGACTTACTAAGGTTGAACTGTTTACATTCCTGCATGGAAAGATGATATTTGTAACTCATGAGACCTTTGTCAGTATTAGGGTAGTTGGAAAGAAAAAATTATGTGTATGTATATAGATAGATAGATAGATAGATAGATAGATAGAGGGCACAGGGTGAGTTGAAAATGAAGAGGTCATATCTGGAGAATAAAATTAAGGGGTGAGAGAGGAATATACTAAAAGAAGGAGAAAGGGAGAGGTAGAACGGGGTAAATTATCCCACAAAAAAAAAAGAAAAGAAAAGGCTCTTACAGTGGAGGGGAAATGGGGAAGATGAGAGGGAATGAGTGAATCTTATTCTCATAGGATTTGACTTAAGGAGGGAATAACATATACACTCAATTGGGTGTGGAAATCTGACTTACCCTACAGGAAAATGGGGGGGGGGAAGGGGACAAGAGAGTAGGGGAATGATAGAGAGGAGGGCAGATTGGGAAAGGGAGTAATCAGAAGCAAATACTTCTGAAGAGGGACAGGGCCAAAAGCAAGAATAGAATAAATGGGGGGTGGGATAGGATCAAGGGAAATAGAGTTAGTTTTTCACAGCACGTCTACTATGGAAGTGTTTTGCATAACTGCACATGTATAACCTATATTGAGTTGCTTGCCTTATCAATGAGGGTGGATGGGGAGGGAGAAGGGAGAAAATTTGGAACCCAAAGTTTTAAAAACACATGTTTAAAAAAAATGTTTTCACATGCAACTGGGAAATAAGAAATACAGGAAATGGGGTACAGAAATCCATCCTGCCCTACAGGAAAATTGAAAGGGAAGGGGATAAGAGAAGGGGAGGAGAGATAGAAGGGAAGGCAGACTAGGGGACAGGGTATTTAGAATGCATGCCATCTTGGGGTGGGGGGAAGGGCAAGATAGGATGAAAATTTAGAACTCAAAATCTTGTGGAAGTAAATGTTGAAAACAAAAAAATAAATAAAAATTACCATAAAAAAAAGAAACATCACCTGAGTATTTGTCCAAGTCACACTCGTGGCAAGAGGTTTCTCCCTTGTTGGAGTAAGAGTTTGCTGGGCAGAGCTTGCAGGTAGAGGAGCCCTCGTTGGCAGCGTAAGTACCAGGCTTGCAGGGGAAGCATTCTGAAGTGTAGGCAACCCCTGTGGAGAAAGAGCACAGTACAGGTCCAGGGTTGGGCTTAGCCTGGTGCCAGGAAGCCAACAGGAGCCTTGAATCTGAACCCCACATTCTGTACCTGTAATGGCGATATTCCTCACTAGCACAGGCTTACGGACTTTGGACCAGACTGAGAAGGCTGTGGTTCTCCAATACAGAACGTTGTTGCCACGATTTAACTCCACCTGAAGACATGAGTAGAAGGAGTTACTCCCCAGAACAGGAAGCCATGAACACACCAAAGATCCTGTCTCCAGTATCCTGACCAATTTCTCCAAGCTCCTTAAACCACAGTCTCTCCTCCCCTCTCTCCTATCCCTAGTGCCTATCAAACAATCAGTCAGTCAATCAACAAGCATGTATTAAACACCTACTATGTGCCTGACACTGGGGATACAATGACAAAGGAGAAACCAGTCCTCTTCCTCAAAGAACTTACATTCTGTCAAGGGAGACAACAGACACATATACACAAAATGCTTTCAAAGCAGATACAAGGTAACCTTGAGGGAAAAGACAGGAGCACATGCAAAGGCAGGGAGATGGGAGATGGGAAGTCATGGAGAGTCATCTGAGAGGAACAGCAAGAAGACCACTTTGGCTGGACTGTGGGGTGCACAGAGGGAGAGGAGTAAAGGCTGGAGGGGGTCAGGTTGCCTATGGGATATTCAGTTTTAAATGTCCAATAGGCATTTGATTAGGTGGGACTGGAGCTGGGGGTGGGGGAGGGAGAAGGACAGAGACAGAGAGAGACAGACAGACAGATATAGAGAGAGACAGAGACAGAGACTAGGGTTGGATATTGTCTGCTTAGAGACTTGAACCAATGGGAGATGATAAAGTCACAAGAGTGAAGAGAGTATAGAGAGAAAAGACATCCCAGAACAGAGCCTTGGGGGACACCTGCCTAGTATCCTCCCCCTGCCCCATCCACCCAAGGATTTAGAGGTGGGAGGAACCTTATCTATTACCTAGTCCAACCCCTTTATTTTATACAGAAGTGAAAACTGAAGCCCAGATAGAAGAAGGAACTTGCCCAGGATCACACCAATATTAAATCCTTCCCAATTCACCTCTTCTACCAAGTCTCCTGTCACCACCATTACTCTCACGACCTCTCTTCCTGTGATTCCAGCCACGTCCTCTATTGATGACGCTTTCTGGTGCCAATGACAGTGCCTCCCATTCCCTCATTCCCACCTGTGTCTCTCCATCCCCAGTATCTGGAAAATCAGCACCTAGAGATGGGAACCTGTCCAATGGCCTGATCAAACCCACATAGATGGGAGGGTCCCACGCTTGCGCATCAGTCCCAGAGAAAAGAGCAGATGATTTTTTTCCCCCTCATCAGGTCAGACCCACAATCGTCCAATACCCCAGTAACTTTTGAATGGAGACACAGACTAATGAGGAGCATTGGTTGAGAGGAAAAGCTTTTGTTTTTGTTTTGCTGTGCCCAGAAAGAAGGCTGGCGTCATACTTACACTATGGTATTCCCACCCTTTTTCTGTAGTTTTCATCCACCTAGAATCTTCTATGTTAGGCTGACATTGATCATTCTGAACCTGGGACAGAAGGAAGTATGAAATCAGGGCTCAAGTTCCCTAGGGAATGAGTGCATTCATTTTTTACCCAAGACCATACTAGCTCACAACTCTTAATGGACTTTAAGGTGATCTTTTTGACAGGAAACAAGTTACCAATTTACTTGAGAAAAATAGCTCTGATTGGGAAGTGGAAACCAGGAATCCTTCGCTCCTTATAACAGAGATTTCAAGATCCTATAGTAATACTATAGTCTCATTAAAATAAAAAACAATCATTTAATTTAGATATGATTTTCATATCAGCCCAAATCAAAACACTCAGAAACCTCCCAGGCTCTGCTTTCCTTCCCACCTACCCCATCCCTCCTCCATGGTATCTTTCAGGTTTGGTACTTTCCCCCAGTTCCCCTATAGCCTTTGAGGTTGGTCCCTCATAACTCTCTATAGACGTCATGGCATCAAACTGGAAAAAAGTCCCACTTAATCTTCACCTCCTGCACAGCCCTTCCCTAGTGGTTCCTAACAAACAGATTTAAGCCCTTGACAAGCCCAGCAACCCCTCCGGCTGAGAGCTTACAAAAAATTCAAAGATGATGCCGGTGTCCGGGTATAAATATTCAAATGACACAGTGCCTGACTGCTTTAGGTTGACTGCATATATCAGTGTGGCCGTGCATTCATCTGTGTTTGAAGAGATGTAGTCACCCAAGGGAACCCAGGTTGACCTATGTGGAGAAAGAAACCAAAATCACTGGAGGGAGGCTCCCTATACCTGCTGGACACTGGAAGGAGAGGTTGCTCAAAGCCTTTAGCAAGTACCCTGGGGAATTCCAAAACCAGTGAGTGCCAAGTTTCCTTGAACTAGGAAGACTTTTTCATAGAGTTAAAATGGGCATTAGAAAAAGTCTATAGCATTTCTATGAACTGGTGCATAATGATGTGAACAGAACCAGGAGAACATTGTACACAGTAACAGCAACATTGTTCCATGAAGAACTATGAATGACTTAGCTATTCTCAGCAATACAATGATTCAAGACAATCCCAAAGGACTAATGATGAAGTATGCTATCCGCCTCCAGAGAAAGAACTGATATAGTTTGAATACAAACTGAAGCACACCATTTGTCACTTTGTTTCTTTTCTTTTATTCTAGTCTTCTTGTACAAAATGACTAATATGGAAATGTTTCACATAATTGCACATGTATAACCTGTATCTGATTGCTTATTGTCTCAGGGAAGGGGAAGGGGAGGGGAAGGAGGCAGGGATAGAATTTGGAACTCAAAACTTTAAATAAAAATGTTTTAAAAACTGAAAGAAAAAAAACAGTCTAGAGGTAGACCAACCCCATCGTTTCATAAATTGAGGGAACTGAAGCTCAAAAGCTAAAGTCTAAACTTGAAAAAAAAATCTCATTGCAGGGCATTGGAGAGGCCTGACAAAGTTAGAGGAGCCTAATGTCTACCCCCATGGCTGAACAGCGCACATTAATCAATCCGAATTCATTCATTTTTACAAAAGTAGGCTTCACTTTACGAAGATTCACATAGGATTTTTGTGTAAATTGCAAGCTCACCTTAAAAAGTTGATATGACTTTCAAACATTCACTTACACACAACCTCACAGAATTACAGAAACCTGTGGAGTAAGGCATCCCAGCACTGCTCTACTGAATCCTAACTAGCAATTCTTGTGACCAGGGCAAATACCATGAAATACATCCTCAAATCAACTTTTTGAAGACAAATTTAGTTGAGAGTGAGTGGAGCCTTGGAGGAGAGACCTTGGGTCACAAGGCAGCTTTCTATTTCAACCAATTACTCTTGCTTGTTATATACTAGAGGCAGCTAGGTGGCACAACGGATAGAGTGCCAGCCTTGAAATCAGAAAGATTCATCTTCCTGAGTTCAAATCTGGTAGCTGTGTGGCCCTGGGCAAGTCACTTCAGCCTGTTTGCCTCAGTTTCCTCATCTGTCAAATGAGTTAAAGAAGGAAATGTCAAACCACGCCAGCATCTTTGCCACGAAAATCCTAAATGGGGTCACAAAGAGTCAGACACGACTGAAAACCACTGAACAACACCAACTAGAAACTAAGATCTGTTTTTTTCTGCAAGCTAAAAAGTGCTATTAGTACCCTCTAAATTTCAATACTCTTAGGCAAAGCTCTGGTTACCTCATTCTAATTACATAGTCCAACTGCTATATATATTCTGTGTATTACAATCCACTGAGCTGACAAATTTGACCCCTACCCCTGAGGTGCTGGCAACCTCCTCTCCTTTCCCTCGATCCCTCCCTCAAAAATTATCTTGTTTTTATTCTGTATATATTCATACGTGTACATGTTGTCTCTCCCTTTGGAAGGGAAAGTCCTTGATGGCTGGGATTTTTTCACTTATGTCTTTGTATCCCAATGTCTGACACATAGTAGGTACTTCACAAATGCTTACTGATTGCTTGTTTGACATGGAATAACCATTGATTAATATAGATTGACTGATTGGGAACCTTTAACTGCCATATTTTACAAGGGTACTTCATGCTCTGGAATGGAAAGAAATGTTTTAGGCTTCCTAGGACATTAAGAGAGAAATGCTCCCAACTCCAGGTAACACAGCACTTCAACCATCTCTAGCCTCATCCTCAAAGTTCCACTGCAAAGGCATTCCAGTCTCTTACAAATTTTGAAGTCACAATGTGCTTCCTATCATATGATCTAAATGTATTTTTTCTGCAGTGAAAATTCTTGTGCTTTTATTTTGAGCTCAGCAGAGATGGGGAGGGGCAGTTATCTATCACCACTATCAACAAACAAGTGTTGAGGGCTGCTGAGTGCGGGATTCTGTGCTCAGTGACCTGGTTACACCCCGGGTGGGGAACCTGCAGCCTCGAGGCCACACGTAGCCTTCTAGGTCCTTGGGTGCAGCCTTTTGACTGAGTCCAAGTTTTACAGAACAAATCCTTTTATTAAGGGGATTTGTTCTGTGAAGTTTAGATTCAGTCAAAAAGCCGTACTCCAGGATCTAGAAGGCTACATGTGGCATCAAGGCCACAGGTTCCCCACCCCCCAGGCTACACAATCCCATCATACATATGGAAACTCTAATATAGGCTGTCTTGCTGTGGTTCTCATATCCATTAGCTGTGTGACCATGAGTGAATTACTTAGTCTTTCTGGGCTGGTAGGAGTCTATTCTGAGTCTTCTCAACTACCATTGTTGAGAATAAAAGGCTTTGTAACCTATAAGGTGCCAAAGTAGATGTAAGTTACTGGCAACATTTCTTCTATGGATCCAGTAACCCCAATCAGATGCCAATTTTGAATCTCTCTCTCTCTCTCTCTCTCTCTCTCTCTCTCTCTCTCTTTCTTTCTCTCTCCCTCCCTCCCTCCTTCCCTCTCTCTCTCTCCCTCTTTAATTTTATACACTCTAAATTGTAGACCAGAAAACTTGGAAGTAATGAATGTGGAAAGATTAGCCTGAGGTTCTGATCTACTCTCCTGGACCTTTAACTGTACTCTGGAATGAAAATCTTAACTTCTTTTCTCCTCCCAGTGCCCCCAAGGTTTAGGGAGGGGAGCCAAAATGTCCAGAGTATGTCCAAAGAGAACAAATCAAAAAAGGAAAGACGCAAGTAAACAAGCAGAACCAGGAGTTCTGGTGTTCAGCCTAGCCCAATCTATTTCTCTAGAAATGGTTCCTCTCCCCCTGCTTACTCTAGAATAGGAATTTATATTACTTTTTTTAATGGACAAGTCACCTACCTTGCCATATTCCTTAACACTAACAAAAGCCTTCATCCTTCCATCCATCCATTCAACAAGTATTTATTAAGCACTATTAAGTACCAGACTAAGCTTTGGAAACACAAAAAAGGGCAGAAATACTGACCCTCCTCTCAAAGGGCTCATATTCTGATGGGGAAGACAACATACAAACAATTAGATACATACCAGAGATATACAGTATAATGGAAGGTAATATCAGAGGAAAGGGACTTGGTAGGAAAAACTTTGTGTAGGAGATGGTGGTGCCATAAGGGAACTCTGAAGGAGCTAGGTTAAAAGGTCCAGGTGAGGAGGGAGTGCATTCCAGAAATGGCAAAGGCTGGGAGAGAGGAGAGGGAATGATGGATATATAGAGTTTGTCAAGGAGAGTGATGGGAAATAAGCTGGATAGGGAGGCAAGAGCCAGGCTGTGAAGGATTTTCAATGCCAGATAGAGGATTTTTTGTGTTTTATTCTACAGGCAATCCCCTGAAGAGTGCTCCCTTTGCTTTTGCTACAAAATGCAGCAGTGCTCCTCATTAAATGGAAATCCTTTCAACTCCCCAAAGCTGAACTCATCATTAACCTAAATGGCATTGATTTCTCCTGTTCTGAAAAAGACAAAACTTGCCACCCAGCACCAGCTATAAATAACCTCTGAGGTTTGATGAATTATTAAATTGATGCCAAAAGTAGGTTATATTTGCAAGTTGTATATATCAGCCTTGATTTTGTCGGGTCTCGGTGTCCCTGATTGAGAAGAAAGGCTTCATGGACAAGAATATTTCCAGGCCCAGACCTAGATCTACACAAAGAAGGGTCACGAGTAGATTTACTTACCACTGACATCCCTACTATGAATTCCACTATGGCCTCGGGGAAACTAAGGCACAGTCATGAGAAGTGATGTTACAACATACAGAGAATCTAGTTATCATCAATCCTAGCTTCATCATGCCAGTAAAGACAAAGGATAACTCAGCCTAGTTCAGGGGTTTCCAAAGGTTGGACTCCCCAAGGCAGTGAGATACAGTAGAAAGAGAACTGGATCAGGAATCGGAAGAGCTGGGTTCAAATCCAGGCTCATCACTTACTACTTGTGTGACCTTGGGCAAGTCACTTCCCTTCTATGCACTTCAGTGTCCTCAAGGGCTTAAGTCATCTGACCTCTAAGGGCCCTTCCAGCTCTAGGTATATGATCATCCTCTGATCCCTTCATTGGTATTCACAGACTTTTCCTTTCCTCATTTTCTTCAACCCTTTGTTCTTTCTTTCCCCTGACCATGTCATTTCTGTTTCTTACTCCTTGGTCCCTGATCCCCATTTTCCCTCTACATCAGGTCCAACCGAATATCATCTGAAATCTTAGGACCCCACTCTGGGAAACGCTGATCAGATAAATTACACACTAGAACTGGAAAACTGTATTTCTGTTCATTAGTCCCCACTGAGTCACTGCCTTGCTGGGGGATCTCAGTTAACTCACCAAACCTTTATGAGCCTCCATTTCTCACTTTTCCTAATAGGAAGTAAAAATCCCTGTCCTGAAAGTGTGTGAAAGAAATGAATGAAACCAGTCTCTGAAGCCTTCTGAACTCCTGGAAGAAAGGCATTGTAGAAATATAAGATGTTACATTATCCTACATCCTGCATCAGTGAACTGAGCTGACAGATAATCTCTGAAATCTATCTCAGGGCTGTCTCTAGAGAGCGAAGAAAGCCTTTCTGTTCACTGAAGTGAACTGATCACAGGGGCTGAGGCTGCATCTTGTTCTGACCAAATTACACTCTCCATTAGGACTTAAATAGTGGTTGTCTTAACCCCATACACTCTGTTTCCATTTATAGCTTTTTTTTTGTCCCCAGACTGTCTCAGTTTCCCCCATCTCCTCCCCCCACTCAGAAACCTGTTGTCATGCTAATGCCCACAGAACATAAAAATGAACGCTGAGGTAAATCAAATTGCTCTATTAAATGTCTATTCTGCTAGCATAGACAGACTTAATTGGGCTTCCAGGAGATGTAACTTAAGGAATTTGAGGGAAGCCTCCCCTCTTTTCCAAATTCAAGACCTGATCTAGTGATTCACTTTCATCTTGTATACAAGTATTAGCTTGGTATTACTTAAAAGGAAATGTTCATTTGTTTTTTCTTTCTTCATCAATGACATTTTTTCAATGTCAACACTGTTTAACAAAGCATAATGTGCAATACCTTATATATCTTTGTATCCTTCACAATGCTTCTGCTTAGTGCTTTGTACATAATAAATGCTAAATAAACATTTGTTGAATGAATGAATAAACATCCAAAGACATGAGAGTGACGGACCAGCATCTCCAATAAGCACTGCTGTTTGCATCTCCTTGGTTTCTTAGCAAAGATCTCTTTAGCTGAGAGATTTTCTAACCTTCAGGCCATAATAGACTTTGGCAACCCTTAAATAGTGCTTAAGCTATCTTCTGTCTCCAAGAGTTCCACCATTTAGGTTTGGTTGAACTACACTTATGAGTTACCTATGGCTGACTTTAGTTTTGTTTTTTTTTTGTTTTGTTTTGTTTTAGGCAATCGGGCTTAAGTGACTTGTTCAGGGTCACACAGCTAGTCAGTGTCGAGTGTTTGGTCTGAGGCTGCATTTGAACTCGGGTCCTCCTGACTTTAGGGCCAGCACTCTATCCGCTGAGCTGCCTAGCTGCCCCCTCTGGCTGACTTCAGTGAGACCTATCTCCACAACATTTTTTCTCTAGCACTCCATTGTGTTATGTAGGTAATCCTGGGCTCTTGAAGGCAATGTCAGTGAAATAAAAGCTCTGTTGGGCTGCAGAATCATAGATTTAGAACTGAAAGGGATCTCAGAGGCCATCAAATCTAACCCTCTCATTTTACAAATGAGATGACTGAGGCACATAGAGATTAAGTATATTCCTAGTAATAGTAACAATAGCCAGCATTTAAGTAGTGCTATAGTTCAAATCTGGCCTCAGACACTGACCAGCTGTATGATTCTGGGCAAGTCACTTCACCCTGCTTGCCTTAGTTTCCTCATCTGTAAAATGAGCTGGAGAAGGAAATGTCAAACCACTTCAGTATTTCTGCCAAGAAAACCCCTAACGGGGTCGTGAAAAATCAGATATGATTGAAATGACTGAACAACAGCATGTAGTGATTTAAGGTTTACCAAGCACTTTACAAATATTATCTCCTTTTATCCTCAAAATAACCCTGGGAGGTAGATGCTATTATCACCTTCATTTTACAGAGGAGGAAACTGAGGCAAACAGGTTAAGTGACTGGTCCAGGGTCACCCAGCTAGTAAGTATCTGAGGCCAGGATTTAGTCTCCCTGACTCCAGGCCTGGCATTCCATTCTCTGTGCCCCCAGCTGCCCAGAGTAGTATTTCCCTGAGGTAGGATGTGATACTAGATCTTCTTGACTGACACTTTCTCCACTATTCCATCCTGCGTCTTCAAGGTCCTACCAAGCTGGAAAGACTTTGAGTTAGGACTTGGAGATGGACTTGCAGGTCAAGTTTCCAAGCACTGGTCTAATGTAAGTTTAGACAGACTAATCACCAGGTTGGTTATGGGTGACAAATTTTGGGACTCAGAAGACTCAAGGATAATCTTCCAAGGTCTAGAGGGGTCGCATATGTTTCCCAGAATCACAGAGTTGGACGGGACCATGAAATCATCTAATCTGACCTAGACCTGAACAAGAATCTTCTCTCCAACATTCCTGACAAGTGGTCAATGAGTTTCTTCTCGAAGATCACCCTTTGATGAAAAGGAATCCCCCACTTCCTCCTGAGGTAGGCCATTCCATTTCTTAAAAACTCCAATTGTTGGGAAGTTCGTCCTTACCCAGAACCTAAGTCTGCCCCCTCTGCAAATCCCACTGGTTGTTCCTAGTTCTGTTCTCTGGGGCCAAGCCTAATGGGAACAAGTCTAATCCCTCTTCCATAAATATGGCAGCTCTTCTCATTGTTTAAGACAGTGATTATGTCCCATCTGAATCTTCTCTTCTCCGGTTTAAGCATTCCCATTTCTTTCAACCCAAGCAGCATGACCTCAAAACCCTCATCACCCTCCTTGGCTTCCTCTGGACAATTACTAGCCTATCAATGACATCCTTAAAATGGGTAACTAGAATGGAACCCTATCCTCTAGATATAGTCTGACCAGGACACAGTATCACCAGACTTTCATACTTCTCTGTTTCTGGGTACCATGGGTCTCAATAGAGACCCATAGAGCTTACATTCGCTTTTTTTAAACTGTCATATTTATTAACTCACATTGGGCACTAAAACCCCCTAGATCTTTTTCAGATGAACCACTATCTAGCCATGCCTCTTCCATATTATATTTGTGAAATTGACTTTTCAAATCCCTTCCTTCCTTCAAGACTCAGCTCAAATACCACCTTTCACATAATGCCTTTTCTGATCCCCCAGATTACAAGTGCTTCCCCTCCCCAACTCCCTCGTATTTGTATTGTATTTATTCTGAATCTACTTACATGTATATACATCTCCCCTAACAGAATGTAAGTTTCTTAGAGCGGGGATTGCTTCTTTTTTTGTCTGTTTCCCTAGCTCCTAGTCCAGTGACAGATACAAACTAGGAGCTTAATAAGTGCCTGTTGATGGAGCACAAATGAAACCATATTTAATTTAAATTTATCAGACTTAATCCAAGGAGAGATATGGATGAGTTGCAGGATCCATCAACATATCAGAGATTTGATTCAATATGCAAGGCTGCCATGAGTTTTTTGGATCCTGACTCCATCATCCAGTGACCTCTTCCAACTTGGTGTTATCTGCTCTACCAATTTGATAAGCATATCATCTATGCCTTCACCTAAGTCCCTGATAAAAGTGTGAAGGAGCCCCAGGACTAAGGACAATTCCCTGAGGAACTCTACTAGAGATCTTCTAAGTGACTCCTCTTTGGGTTAAGTTCTTCAACCAAATCAGAATCTAATTAACTATGCCATCTATCATCTAACCCACATCTCAGCATGAGAAACTTTGTCAAATGCTTTACTGAAATCTATGCACACTCTATCAACAACATTCCCTTGATTTTTACCAGTCTGATAACCCTGTGAAAAGAGGAAATAGATTTGGTCTAGCATGACCTGATCTGGTTGAAATCATGCTGGCTCTTGTGATCACTATTTAATACTTCCTAGAACTTTTCTAAGAATCCAGGTCAAACTCAGTGGCCTATAGTTTTCAGCCTTTTTTCCCCCTTTTTGGAAAATGGGAAAATTTGTTTTTCTCCAGTCTTGCAAAACCTCTCCCTTCAGTCATCAAGTCCACCATTTCTTTCAAGACCTTTGCAAGCACTCAGCAAACCGGAATTAGAACTCACAGTTCCCAAGTTATTCAGAATAAATGGGAAATGCTTCTTTGCAGAGGTGGGGAGCTATGGTTGTGGAACACTATATATAATGCCAGGCTTTTTTGATATTTTGGTTGATTTAGTTGAACTGGATTTTCCCCCTTTTTATTATTTATTACATAGGATTGCTCTCTGGGCAGGAGTAGAAAGAAGGATACATCAGAAAATGCAGGTGATATAAAAACAAAAGATATTGATAATTTTTTAAAAAGAATAAGTGGGCAGAATACTTTCTCTCATGGCTTACTAAGTGACTTCAGGTTGTGAGTTGCATTGTCAGAGGTTATATGCACACTGATGAAATTATAGTTCTTTGAAGTGCTAGAATAAGGCAAAACCTTAAGGGATGAGTTGGCTTATCCAAATACAAGTATGTAAACCAAATAAGATTTTTGTTTTTAAAATGGGAATTTCTTTTTAACTCTTTGTCCTCCATCTCCTTGAAAATAATACTCATCTAGCAGGAGAAGGAGGTTAGTTGTTTATATTAAAGGTGTCAGTGACTGGTTGTGATGGGAAATCACGAATGGCCAGTCTTAGGGAATTGGTCAAGTTATTGATACTACCCATAACCTAACGACTTTTGAGCTTCTTTCTTTCTCTCATTCTCTCCTGCCTATCTTTATATCCCTTATTAGAAGCAGCTATGGCTAACTAGGTGGTGCAGTGGATAGAGCGTCAAGCCTGGAGTCAGGAAGACCTGAGTTCAAAACCAGCCACAGACACTTACTAACTGAATGACCTTGGGCAAATTCTCATTGAACCTTAGTTTCCTCATCTATAAAATGGGACTTATAATACCTTCCTTACTGATCTTAAAGGGTTTTGGAAGGTTCACAGGAAATAACACATATGGAAGGTCTTGCTAAACTTGCCCATGCCTGCCCAGCTGGCACTGCAACCTTCCTCCTAGAGAAATGGAGTTGAGGGGTGAGTATCCCACAGGTGGATACTAAACTCACGAGGTACAGTTCTCAGATGACTCAGTGAAGTCTTCATCAATCTCCACATTGGTCGCTTGGGTAGCAAATCCATGTGGCAATTCATCCCACTCATCGAATCGGATGCCTGTGCCTAGAGAATACCGGCCTTTGGCACACGGCTTACATGACTGGTCCTTCATGTCCAGAAATTCCCCAGCCTTGCAGGAAAAAGCTAAAAGAAATTGAACAGAAGTTGGATAATATCAAGGTTATTGCTCACAGGAGTGTTGATGAGTGGCCGTTCTACATGGTGGGGGGGGAAGTCTTGATAACCAGCTGGGAGGCACAGGGTTCCGCCTAGAAAGGCTTAGCAACTTAGGAGCTAAAATTTTTCATTCCCATTCCACCTGACTTCAGGTAAGGTCACTCTGGGTTTAACACCAGCTGAGAGGTACCTTTCCTATTCTGAAAGCTCTTCAGGGAGAGATATCACTGACTTTCATGTAAAACTATTTGTGTCTCATAATGTCTTCATAAGATCATAGATAGCCGTAGAAAAGGACTTTAGAGATTTCCCAGTCCATCTCCTTCACTTTGCAAATAAGGAAATGGGGGGGGGAGTTAATTGACTGACTAGCATAAGGCCACACAGGTACTAAGTAGCAATGCCAGAATTCAAACACAGCTTTTTAGTGTATATAATAATTCCTTTGCTCGTGATTTCTTAGGCCCCTTTAAAGGCAGCCTAACTCTGAGCAATGTTCATATATACATTTTTAAAAAACATTCTCAATATCACCCCCAACTCTTAAAAATGTTCTTTATCCCAGTTCCCTAATTATCAGTTCCTCCCTCCTTTTCCTGTCTTATCAGAAAAGAGAAAACAGGTGCCAACCGTTTGAAAGGTTATGATCGTTAAGTACAGAGTTACACGAAATGGGAAAGTGAGCCTCAGACAAGTCCTCATGTTTCTGAATGCACAATCAGGCTCACCCACCAAATGAGATTTATATTTCTCTGAATTGACACTCAATGTACTTTAAAGGTCTGCCTCTGCAGCAATCCATCTTTCCTGGCTTCCTTTCCAAGAAGGAAAATGGGCTGCAATCTTCACTAATGAGTGATTATAGCTGCCCAGTGAATGACTAGGCTAAGAATGCATAAACATAAAGGAAACTAAATATGCAAAAGAAGAAAACATCTGAATGCAACACAGCTGGAATTCTGCATTCTTATTCCCCAAGATACAAAAAAGAATTCAAGTATTAAGTCTGTATCATAAAAAACATTTCTCTACAAAGGAGAGAAAAGCCAAGTGTTTGGTAAAAACAATCTGATTTTCCCAAGACTTCCTTCCTCTCCCACAACCGAGGGCTTAGAGCTGACAGTTCTGTGCCAAGCAAGGACATGGCTGAGGTAATATACAAGGTGAGCGTGGAGTGACCACTACTTACAGCATTCAGTGCCTTTGACTGGATCAGGTAGGCTGGTGCACAGTCCAGGTGTGTGTGGCACGGCGACCCTCCATCTGGAGCCCATGCTGTCACATGCAGTATACTCATAGTGATACTCAGACTGTAGTGGAGAGAGAGAAAACACCACACGGTGAGGATGGGGCAGTCATCCAGCACACATAAGCACACCTGTTATCCCTTGCCTCTCCTGTGTAGAACGTGATCTAAATAGGATCCAAGGATTCCAAGGAGTCCAAGCTCCCTGGATACCCTAGAGGGCCTCTTAAGGGTTGGACTGATCATCAGTAATGGAAATGACTTGGTTCATTCTTCTTGGCTGGGATGTTATCCCGTCATTGGAATGGCAAGCTTCTCACAAAGATATTTTAAGATCCTTTCTCGTTCCTTGCAAATAAAGGGACACTGACCCACAGGATTGAGAGCCAAGTTAAGGAGGGAGAACAGAACAAAAAGGGGTGGTGTGTGTGTGTTGGCAAGGGGGAAGAGTCTGGATTGCCCCAAACGGAAGAACAGATGAACTCCAACTTCCCATGAGGAAGGGTCCGTCCAGGGCACAAAAAAGATCGAACAAGTTATGATTGCAGCTGTTGTGCCCTGTATCCCTCAGGTTCCTTCCCAGTGACTATAAATTGCTGCCTTGCATTTGTTAAGTACTATGACGGGTGACACAGCAGGCTATTGGGGGACTCCCTTTTCTTATCCCGCACTAGCTGGATATAAAATCTATTCACTGTCCTTACAATTCTCTCTTCCACAGAATGGATAATTCCCAGTCCAGTTCAATTATCTGATTAGCTGGAGAAAGAATTGAATTAGCAATGAACAGTCCAACATTGTTTCAAAGAGGGAAAACATAAAAGATGTGCCAGATGTCCGCATAAACTCTTTTATTTTTTAAACATTGTTTAAACACTTTAAGCGTTAAAAATAAAAACAATGGAACTGATCACAATGCGGATTCTGGCCTCTGTTTCATCTGTACGCTGCCACTTACCTCAAATGGTTTAAAACCTGAAAAACCTGAAACAGATTTCCTCTGTTCTGGCTGCCCACGTGGAAAGAAATGAAGGCAAAGATTCAGAGTGTCTTAGAGCGAGGAGAGAGCTTAAGAGGTCATCTAATCTAACCCCCTCATTTTAAAGATGAAGATACAGGGCCAGAGAGATGAAGAGACATATCCAAAATCACAAGCACAAGTGAGTGACAGAGAACAGTCTCCTGGGCCTCAGTTTCTGATTTTGTTAAAATGAAACTTGGTGGATTAGTGGATAGAGGGCAAGACTTGGAGTAAGAAAGACCCAAGTTCAAATCCTGCCTCAAACAGTGATTACTTGTATGACCCTAGGCAAGTCATCTACCCTTTCTGTACCTCCTTTCCTCATCTGCAAAATGGGGATAATAATACTACTTAACTTATAAGGTTGCCACAAGGATCAAATGAGTTAATGGATGTAAAGCACTTTGCAAACCTTAAGGTGCTAAATTCAAATTGTCACCATCATCATTATTAAAATGAAAGAACTAGATGACCTCTAAAGTCCCCATCAGTTCCAGATCTATTGACCTTTGAACCTAGGTTTTTGGTCCCCTCCTCTCTATATTTTCTACCTTAAACTCATGCAATAAAGAATCACCAAAAACTACATGAAGTCTAGGAATGAATGGATTTCAGGTCTGCTGTGAGGCAGTATAATCTTAGACTGTACCAGAACCAAAAGCAAACAGTTTTATTCCCTGGATAGGGGAAAATAAGCATAGATAACAATTAACATATTGTTTCCAGTTCTGAAGTAAAGAGTTTCTGACAGCAATTTTAAAAATAATTTTGGAATTTTGTTTTAATATATATCAATTAAAAATATTTATTGAGCACTTATTACATACCTAGCACAAGAAACATTAGGTACTGAGCAGGGCTCGCTTAGCCAGATGCAAGGAGCAGGGATTAACATTTGGAAAATGTCAAGATTTTCTCTTTTTCCACCACCTCTTGCTTCAGGTTTGGATGCCAGATCTATCTAGGAAAGAGCCCTGGGCTAGGTAGAGAAAGGAGATCCATTTTTGCCCAGATGTCAATCAATATACAGTGACAATGATGGGGTGCTTGGGTGGTTGTACCCCAATTCCATGACCATGTTTCTCCCTAGCCTCAGAAACACTATCCCTGGCAGTTTCTCCCCAGCCCGAGGACACTGTGCCTAGCAATTACTCATGAGTGGGCCCCAGCAAGACCCTTATCTCTCCCTGGTACAGTTACAAACAGCACCTGAGGGAATTATTAGTTTGAATTGACTTTGTACTGGGTCATAAAGATATTCTTACCCACTGGACTATCTATACTACCACCCTGCCTTATTATCTACATCCTGGACTCATTATCTGTATTCTAGACCTAAGACATATGTATACTCCCTACATCTATCTTGTCAAACAAGACATTAACTGGTGGCAGACTGGACAATTCTCAGTTACCCCTGACCGTTAGTTAACTTAGTGACGTAGCAGGCCTAAAACCACACCTCCGTGTAGCCCCCCTTGTGAGCTTTTCCTAGTGAACTCTGGGTAAAACGCCTCCGAAGTAGATACAAAAAGTGCATGTTCCTTTAAGAACTGACCACTCCTTAACCACTCCTTAATCCTGCCCTGAATCAAGTTTTATTATATTTTATCCTATATAAACTTTAACTGTATCCCTCTAAGGTCTCAGGTTCCTTAAGAATCCTTACCCGCTATATAGTGTAACGATAAATCTTTGCCAACTTGACTCCAAGAATGCTTGAGTCTGTGAAATCATTCCAGATGACCCCGTCTTGTTCTTTGGTCTTTGAGGGGTCTCAGCCTCTCAGACTGCAACAACACTTTGGGCAAGCCACTTCTGGGGATCCCATTTTCCTCATCATCCTTATGTCCCTACCTCACAAGGAGGTAAGGAGAAGAATGTCAACATATTTGTAATGCATTGAAACCCTTTAGTTTGTTTTTAAGAGTACTGTATAAATTGTAGGCCTGATTATCCTAAATAGAAAGTTTCTACTATGCAGTAGCTGTATTAATTGTAAATAGCCACTTTTCTTCTCCACCAGAGTAAGCAAAGATTTACCCTTGGCAAGTAATAAATAAGGGGCAGCTAGGTGGAGCAGTGGAGAGAGAGTGCCAGGTCTGGAGTCAGAAGACTCATTTTCCTGAGTTCAAATCTGGCCTCAGACACTTGCTAGTTGTGTGACCCTGGGCAAATCACTTAACCCTGTTTGCCTCAGTTTCCTCACCTATAAAATGAGCTGGAGAAGAAAATGGCAAACGACTCCAGCGTCTTTGCCAAGAAAACCCCAAATGGGGACACAAAGAATTGGACACGACTAAAAAACGACTGAACAACAACAAAGGTAAAAAATAATGACTGAACTGACTTTATTAGTTACACACAATCCTGGGCATGGAAAAGAATAGCAAAAAGTGTGCTGTCTCTGTGCCTTTGGGAAGGTACCTCTAGCACCACTATGTAACAAACACACGCTGACACACAGCCCTCCCCTCCTACCTCCTCTCACTCACTTTGTAATAATAAATATGTAGGGGGCAGCTAGGTCACTTGACACTTACTAGCTGTGTGACCCTGGGCAAGTCACTTAACCCCAACCGCCTAAGCAAAAAAAAACAAAAAACAAAACCCAACAACAACAACAACAAAAAAACAAAAAAATATAATAAATGTGTAGGCGAGGCCCTCAGTTTAGGGACATGCCTATCTAAGGAACTGAGTAGGTCAGTGTTCTCTGCCAGTCAGGCTCAACCCCACACCCCTCAGAAGGGCTGTTAAAAAGTTAATGTGTTCAGTAAGAGAGTTTCTCTTCAGTCTGATTGCATTTTCCTCTAGGGGAGATAAATGGAACAATTCCATTTCTTTCTGTCTTCTTTCATCTGTTCCCCCCTGGGTCCTACTGTGGTGGGAGGTTTCCCAGGCAAATGGCAGTTTTAGACCTTAGACAAATTTCTTTTCAAATATGTGCTAATTTATTCATTGTTATCTGGATAGATTTACAGCAGCCAGGGTGACTGTCTCTGTTGTCTCTGCTTGTGATGGTTCTAAGTCTGGATTACCCTGAGATAATTATACCATTAACAAGAACTTTAAAGGGGGGCAAATGACAAAGTAAAAGAGGGAAAGAGACAGAATTCCTCAGGTGCACTGAAAGTCCTGCGGATAAATCACCTTCCTTGGTATGCTGCCTTGGTTTACCTGAGGCCCTCCCTGAAACATATGTAGATAACTTATACATTTACAAATAGTACAGAATTTAAAATTAATCATGGCCAGTCCAGACAAATACACAGTACCCTGCACATTTCACACCCTTCTCCTAGCTGAAAAACAGCAAAACACTGACTATTCTTTTGGGGAAGAATGGAGAGGCCCTAGTACACTTGTCAGGCACAGCACAACTTCTTAATTCGGACAGGAACAGAGAGAAGAGATGAAACGCTAAAGTTCTATTCCTCTGGGGCCAAAGATGAAGTATCGCCCTTTTCGCAATGCCTACTTTTCAGTTCCTGAAAAGGTTCGATATCTGTGCCACATGGAAACTTGCTGGAGCTAGAAAATCAAGAAAAATTTCTTATTTTAAAAGTCTCAGAGACCTGAGAGGAACTCCTATCCATCCCTGGTGGCTACTGAGTACATCAGGAGCTCAAGGATATGCACCTCAGGGCCACAGAGGCTCCAGTCCATCTTGAGACAGTCCATCCTAACTGGCTCCAGTCTATCCTGAAACATGGGTCCATATGCTCTGCCATTACATATTGGTGTTGGTGACAGAGATATATTTCTTGTGCTATGTCCCCCAAGCATCTCAAACTCAACATATAACAACAACTAACATTTATATAGAGCTCACTATGCACCAGACACTGTGTTAAGTGCTTTACAATTATTATCTCCTTTGACCCTCATGATAAACCTCAAGGGGTAGGTGCTATTATTATCCCCATTTTACAGATGTGGGAACTGAGGTAAATAGAGGTTAATGACTTGCCCAGGGTCACACAGCTATTAAGTATTTGAGGTAAGATTTTAACTCTGGTCTTCTTAACTTCAGGCCCAGC